CTCTTTCACGCCGAGGGTCTTAATGCTACATCACTAGCAGGCATAACATTTTCCCAGCTGCTTGATGTGACATCTGTTCACTGTGTGTGTGACATTTTAGCCTTTGTCGAGCAGCAGTATGTGGTCTCCTCCTATATACAGTAATTGCTACCACAGCAGGCTCCTGTGGCCCACTGTCCAGTTTGTTTTGGCACCGTTCCCCAGATGACAGAACTGCAGGGATACGGCAGCAGCAGCAAGGGCAGCGTGCTCATTCAGTCATGTCTGGCCTTTGATAAGGAGGCCAGCTTGTGTGTGCATGCATAGTTTGTTTGTTTGCATGCTTGCTTGTTTGTGTCAGGTGGGTTTTCAGAAGAAATCCAAAGACAGAAAGAATGGCAGCTGTGAAGTGTGTGTTTAGGTGATTCTGCCCTTTATCAGAATGTCCCTGTCTTTGATTTATAACAGAGCAAGATGGCATGGTGCATAAGAAATCTCTGCAGCTCTTTGTCCTTTTGGTATCATTTCAGTGAGGTAGTCTGGTGATACTTCCTGCCAGATGGATCTCCTCCAACCAGACAGAACAGTCAGTCACTTTGGCACTGAAACATGGATGAACCAGGGTCACAATTTACAGCTGCAAACAGAGATATAGCAAATGCCAAGATTAGGATTCTTTAGCTTTCAGATTTGCTCTCTTCTGAACAGTTGGAACAATGGGAAATATGTTACAGAGTTGAACTAAGAGTCAGAAAGGGGACATTATAATTCTTAAGATGATAGATTTGTTCTCTAGTTTACAGCTAAACATGAGGCTAAATAATCTGATGAAATGATGAGCTGCTAGCCTCAATCCACAGGTCACATCTTAAGAATGAGTTACTGTAAGAGTTATCACAGATGTTTTGTCAGGCCCAAATATAAACTTGTATTGCTCATAATGCCACTTAATTGCACCATATGCAATTCAGCTGAACTGTTTGAGATTAATTCTCACTTTGTCAAAAAACCACATTCACTTTTATCACTTTGTGAGATCATCTCTGCATGTAGTTCACTTTTTTCATATCAAATCTGGTGTTTTATGGTTATATTTGAATGAAATCTGTGTCTGTCTTTGTTTGTAGGACTGTGTTGTCTAACAGACTATTTCTGTGTGTCCTAACAGGGGATAGATTTTGCCAGTTTTACAGGCTATATGTTCCTTGGAATATGCCTCGTCCTTTTGACCTCATTTCCTTTCCTGCGGATGCTCTACTGGAACAAAAAGCTCTACAATAAAGAGTCAATTGAAATAGTAGGTGAGTATCAATGTTTTGTCACAAATGCATTGTCAGAATTTTAGATGTTTTTAATTGGTGGAAAAAGAGGTTCTAATAAAAACAGGGATTTAAAGTCACATCAGCAAAAAAGTCTTTCCCCAAATCCCTGTGTACACAAACTTTGTTGAGACGAGTTATCATGCAGTACCCTGCATGTGACACAGTAAAAAATCATGATGGTTTTGATTATTATTAAGAAGTGTATCAACCCCCTAAGAACATCTGTATAGATACTGTACCTCCATCCTAAAGCTACTCACCTCTTCGAGGGACCTCATAAACTGACCTCATGGAAACTTACGTACTTGGTATTATGGCCTTAGCCCTCTAACTCCCACATATGTGTTGCCCTCTGAATTGGAAACTTTCACCCCATCTACCTCAGGTAATTTCCATGGTATTCCATTTACACTGTCCTCATCATAACACTTCTGGATTATGGTGAGATAGTTATTAAAAAGATCTCTCTGCAGTCATGATCTAATAGATAAGAAGTTAATTTATTTCTGGGTTTGCAGCCACTACTTTGATTTTCAAACCTAATTTTGGCCTCAGTAAATGTGGTTAAAATTAGGTAAATCAAAGCATTCATGGTGGCTAAGTTCAGCATCATTTGCTGGGGTGAAACACTTTCACCTTTTGCCTCATTCAGCAGCTCTGCTCCCTCCCTGGTGACTCAGCCCGTATCCCAGACACCACACGGTCCATCCCAGAAATCCCCTTTTCTCTGATGGTCAGCTGTTGGCTTTGACTAGCTGGCAGCAAAAAACCAGCTTCACCCATCCAGAGTGCAGCACAGCACTCCCTTCTTGGCTTTGCTGTTGCTGCTGAAAAATTTCTACTTGTGCTGTTGTATAAAGGTATGTGGTTAATCTGGCACAGCACAGTTCTGTCATATATCTCCTTAATTATCCTTTAAGAGAACAGAAAATGATATGGCCATTCCTCAAGGCTTGGTACATTGTCCAGAGGCAGAGTAAGGTCACCTAATAAGAATATAAGCCACAGTGTGTGTTTGGTTTGGATACTAACTATGTCTTGCACCCTAGAATCTATTCAGTGCTACTGTAGATCTTTGGCTATGAGACCCTGGGGCTGTGCATAATGGCCAAACAAATAAAACAGGGATATGTGTGTGAAATTGTTAACAATTCATCCAGAAATGCAGTCACCTTATCAGTGTTTATCCACAAAACTAAGGTGCCCCCTCTCAGAGAACCTCAGCTGACCATCATTAAAACAGACAGCACCACGTTCTCCAGTCGTCAGCACACAGCCTCCATTTCAGGAGAGAGCAAGAGTGATTGTTTGGAGCTGTACTGTCACACTGAGCCCCAGGCAGGATGAAGAGAGCCGCTGCTGATCACTGCGGTGACTGTTCGATGTCGGCCTGATAGCCCATCTGTAAATTTCACCCTGTGGAGTTTCTGCTTCTCCTGCGAACCTGGCCTACCTAGGACAGCTTGCGAGCCCATCAGCTAAAAGCCCCTGCCACGACTAGTAATTGTGCAGATTTGCTTACAGGAATGTTTTTTATGTGCTAGTTAGGGCCTTTTAAGTTTGCCTACCACCCCCTGAAAAAGGAAGGCACCTACTGACAAGTACTCAGGTGTCCAGCACACTCAGGCTGTAACTGTGCTTCGATATCAGCTGTTCCTGAACTGGTCAGTGTCCCTGTGGCCTGTTGCTCGTTCCTCTATGGAGGATCACAACATATTGACCAAAAACGTCTTAACTTCTTTTCAGTCAGCCTCAGCTGTTGGAGCTATTACCAACCCATTCCCCCACTGTAAACATGCTCGAAGCTGCTACTGAGCCACAGCACTGTGATGAATGTATAGTCCACGTGTTTAACATGCATTAACCAGGTGCCTTTCTCTCCTACTCTGTTTGTCTTGCTCCTCTAGAACTAAAGCATGAGATCTTGGTTTGGAAACAGACGGCTCAGCGCATTAACCCCGCTAGCCGAGAGGAGACAGCTGTGAAATGCCTCCTGATGCAAAAAGTCCTCAACCTGGAGAGTCTGCTCCGCAAGATGATGAAAACCTTCCAAAGGTTTGTTTACTGTTACATGTTTTTCTTTTCAAACACCAGCATATATTTGCCGCTTCTTAAAGTCTTGGTGCATAGTACAGTATGTGAATGAGACAAGGAGTTCAGTACTCATAATATTTTTGATGACTTTTGGAGTTTATTTTAGATTATTCCATTATTTAAGACAGCTATTTAGTGATTTTTTTTTTAAACAGCTGGGGAAAAAATTAAGATGTCCGAAAATTGTTTATTTTTCTGCCCCCTTGTCAAAGACCATCTCCAGCAGGCATAGCATTTATAAGACAATACAACACAACACCCAACTCAACAAATACCTACTGTAAAAACAGCATTTTTCTTGATTGAACTAATATTTTCAGAGTAAATATTCTATAATGAAATGTCCCTTGTTTCATAACAAATTAATATGGCATTAAAATGTTTTTGTTTTCAATTAGACAAATTTCCCAGGAGGATAAGAACTGGGAGCAAAACATTCAAGAACTGCAAAAAAAGGTAAGCTTTCATACCTATGCTACAGACATATTCTTCATCCACTGGTGCATTGATGTCATCTCAGTAATGAAGTTGGCCTAGTCTTTTAAAGTTCACCTAAAACAAATGCTGTCAGTCACATGACAAAATCAGGTTTTCCCCTCATTCAGACAAAATATTTTTTTTTCCAACACAGCACAGAATAACTGACAAGGTTCTCTTGGTGAAATGTGTGTCCGTCCTCGCTGTTGTGATCTTCATGTTCTTTCTCAACTCCTTCATTCCCAGAATTCATCTTGACCTTGGTGAGTGCAGCACTGTCTCATTACTGAACTGTTTCTACAGGCCCCACTGGGTGGATATAGTTTCTGTCATGTACAGTAATTATGAAACACAACTTCCTCCCTTCTTGCATTTGAAATGAGCCCAAATAATGGGCTGACTAGCAAATATAGCAACAAATTACATGATAGTGAGCTGAATTTAGACCCCTCACATTATATCTATTCATCTGCTGCATTTCCACATCTGCATTGATGAACAGTGTTACAGTAAAACTGCAATAAACCCTTTGATACCATTTGTGTCATAAATACTTTTTTTGAAGTTTCATGGCAGAGATGCAGCAGTAATGCAGAGTTACAGACAAACACAAAGTCCATGTGACATGATCTGACATAATTAAATGAGTTGTAAAGTCACCAGTAAGAATAACAGAAACACTCCCACCATTAAAAAGTCTAAAACCTCTACAGTACAAAACTATACAGAACAGCAGATGTTGTTTGTGATAAATGCACAAAGAAGCACGACCTGATTCGAGAGTTCTCTTTGGTTTATGGAGCTAATTTCTAACAATTTTCAGCTCGTTGTTTTAGTTTTCCACTCTGCAACTTTAATATTTCAGGTCACTGCACTTATCAGTATCACTTTCACTCATACTTTCAGTAAAAGAGCTCTAAATATCCACTGCCAGACAGAGTTAGCTGCTGGCTAGGTACCTGATTTGAGCATTTAGCCACTAAAGAACCAGATTTCCCTCCAGAGCTGGTGATGATCAAAAACAGAGCTAAATAGAGAGTGAATATTGGACTTACATTCATCAGATGGACACACACAGGGATTACAAATGAGTTGTAATGTTGCTGTGTAACTGCTGGATGTTTAAGCAGGTAACTATATGCTAACACATTAACGATATAAATACAAATAGTGATAATATGTTTGTGTTGTGTTTCCAGCTTGTTTTCCACTTTAGACAAAAAATCGGTTATTGCAGGTTTTGTGTCTTACACATTGCAGAAGAGTCAACTGATCATATGATGGAGGCCTGAAACACTTAAAACAACTCTGGATCTGTGTTATTTGCATATTTTATGTTGGCATATCTGGACTTGTGGTTTAGTTTGTGTGATGCTTCTGACTGCAATGCCTCTGATGTTTGCTGGGCAGATGACCTTAACAGTCATTAGTGCCAACACTGTCCCTAAATGAAGATGGCTGTCGTCGCACACACACTTCCTCCACTGCTGAGGCTACCCAGTCACCAAACATGCTCAGTTAATTACAGGCGGTGCTCAGGTTACCTCTCTGTGAGATTTATTAAATGGGAATGACCACACAGCAGCATGTTTTCTGTCTCTGTGGAGGGATAGGCGCCTGTCCAACCACAGCTCTCATTAATGCATGCAGGTCACAGTCAGGGTTGACTACTGCTGCAAGCACAGTCTATTCAATTACATGTGTTTTAAAAATTGAGCCTCATTAAAATTTCATTAACTTCACACAGTAAGATTTAATTTCAGTCTGATTATTGCCTGGTCATTTGATCTCTCTAATGTGACTGTGTGAGTTACAACCGTGGTATGGTTGAATCCTTATTGGCCCCCAAGTAGAGATCAGAAGAGCAATGCAATGACACAGGCTGTTCCAAATGTTCCAGTCACTGGGTAAATTGTACATATGGGAAAGAAGTTGTTAAACATTTGTAGACTTAGAGGTTTGACTCATTATTTCAATAGAGATGAATTAATTCTTAAAAGTCATAATTTGGGTTAAAGTCCAGACATTTTAACTGATTTGAATCTTTAGTTAAAATCTCTGGCTGATCTAATCACACTGTATTGTTATGAGTGTACAAAACACTTGTCTTCTTTTGACTTTGGCCTTGTGTTTATTTACCTCATTCTGTGTGTCTCTAAGACAACGGCAGTGAGACATTCTTCCTAGCACGATTTCAGTCTCAGACACTGTAGCCTTATATATGATAAATGAATCATAAATCATAAACTGCTGAAACCTGGAGAGCTCTTTGGGTTTGTTATGTGCTGCTTGCTCTTAGCCCTGTTCAGGAGGCAGCCTCAGGGAATATCAATGTGATACAGTCAAACATGGCCTCATACTTTGTCTTCTACTGCCTGAATGAGTCATAGAACTTAGCAAAGATGAATGCCTCTATTGTCTCAGTTGCTAACTTATATTACTTACTGTCTGTCTTTTTATCTTGAAATATATATTTGTTCCTGGTGATTTCTAATGACAGTGACTGAATACTGAAAATATGACTAGGTGTCCACTGGAATAAGTGAAGTTAAATATTTTTTTATTTATTACATTTACTATCAAGCTTAACTCTGATGAGGAAACTTGTCCAGAGAAATAAAAACTATGTACAAAAATAAGCTGAATCCATAAAGGATATATTAACTAAAATTGGCCTTAGTTATAAAAATTAAAGTGGGACATTTTATCCAGAAACATATGTTTATACTCTCTATACAAAGTATAGACATTGTCTTCAGACACAATTAATATGCATGAATCAATATTTTTATGTTAACAACTGAAAAAAAAAAGACAATATGTAATGTTAAAGGCACCACTAGTAATGCCAAACCCACTGATAATTACCCCGGAACTCTGCAGTTCCCCTCAGCACTACAGAGCATTTTGACATCTTTCAGCTCATTGTTTTGGTTTTGCATTCTGCAAATTTACTGGTTCAGTTTACTCTCAGCAGCATTGTTTTCTGACGCAGCAGGAAGCTGTTACCTGTTACCTGCTCAGCACCAAACTGGTCAACGTAGTTTAGCATTTAGCACTTAAAGAGCCAGATATTTCTGTGGAGATGGTGGACACCAAAACAGTGTCAGCCTCTGCTAAATGTGTAAAAAGTTAAGTGCCCTACATGTACAACAATCTAATGCAGTGGTTCTCAAACATTTTTTGTCATCCCCCATTTAAGAGGGTGGGCAAATTTTCAAGCCCCACTTGTCAAAAAATAACAAAATGGGCCAATTTTTAAATTTCAAATGTGTTTTAATATCAAATAACACTAAGTTGAAAATGGATAAAATATAAGTGCAACTGTATCGTTTGACAGAGGGATAGTTTTCAATTTTGCAGCACTTGTTTCATCCAGCATTATTGACACCATGTCTACAGCAGCAGGAAGAATGAGCTGCTCAGCAATTGTGTAGGATTTTTTGCACTGTGCAATTCTGTATGCAACTTTGAAGGAAGCCATTTGTGCTTTGCTGTCCACTGATGCAGATTTTACCATGCGATTTTCCTGCTGGTGGTATTCTGCCAGCCGAGTGGCTTATTAACGTGACTGGGGTGTGTTGTCTTTAAATGTCTTCTTAATTTGTTGGGTCTCATGCTGTCTGCTGCCAGCGGTTTAAGGCACAAGACACACATGGGTCTCTCCTCTGCCCCCACCATTCCCACCGTGAATCCAAGCACAAGATAGGCTTCATCATATTTTCTTTCCAGCTGGCTTTTTGGTTGGTAAGGCTACTGCCTGTCGTTTCTTTGTCTGCTTGCGCTGAATCGCCTTCTTTTGTGGAACTGATGTTATTTTAATTTACTTGTATTAATGACCCATTTCTAATTTTCTCCATTCATTACGCCCCACCTGTCATGTCTTTATTCCCCACTAGTGGGGCGCGCCCCACACTTTGAGAACCACGGTACTAAAGTAATAGGGTGAGCTTGCCCACAAGTGGTCAAAATAAATAAATAATTTAATTAATCCATTCATCTATCATCCATTATCTACACCACTTATCCTGAAGAGGGTCGAGAGCCAATCCCAGCTGTCACTGGGCGAGTGGTGGAGTACATCATTTAATTAATCAAAAAATAAAAAATAATGAACATTTAAAAAATATTTTATGCCACATTTTGCCCAGTGTGTTTTCTCCATAAAAACGGTACTGTATGAAAAATCTATAATTGTGAAGGTGACAGCTGAATCAAATTACTCTGGTAGCAGCTTTTGGTAAACAACAAGCTAGCTAGTATTAATCAACCAAGCCCCTTTTTAAATATGTTTAAAAGATCAGGTGGATAACTTTTATAAATTGATTTTCAGTAATGTAGTGTTTGTTTAGCAATTTTTACTTCTCCAACCATTACTGTCTCTGCCCAATTTCCCATTGATCACTGGCCATTTATATAAAAATTTCCCTAGAGTTTTCTTGTGTGTCGCTGATGGGGTTTGGAGCGTAGGCAGGGATGACCCAGACACAGATATGTAGGTTGTCAGATACAGCAAAGTGACTTTAATAAAAAAATAAAAAGGTGATTATAAAAGCTTACAACCAGACAGGTGGGGTTAGGAACAAGAACAGGTTGCAGGAAACAGCTACACACAAACTGGCAGGAACAGGAGTAAACAAAGTCTACAGAACGTGACAAACTCACACAATCATCTGACAACTCATTGTGGGGAGCTAATGAGAGAAATGCAAGGAAACAGGTGTATAGGTGGGTGGAGAAGGGTCTGGTGATTGGGAATAGGACACAGGTAAGCAGGTGGGCGTGGAAGAAAAATCCAAGGACATCTGTGGGCAGATGCAGAGTAGCAGGTAACAGGGCAGCATGGCCAAAACAAATAGGGAGGGAACAGGAATCATGACTGAATCATCAGCTTGAGAGTCAGATCAGAATTGAAAATCCACATTTCTTGTTAAAAACACAGATTTCCAGCCCTTTGCTAAACTCTGGCCAAAGCTACTCAGCAGGTTCTGTACATGTTAACATGCTAAGAAGCTGTCAGAACATTCAGCCTCGGTCTTCTTATCAGTCTTTGTCTTCCCTTCACATATTCCCCCTGTTACCCTTTTTGTGTCCTTGCATTGCTGCAGCAGTTATGAAATTATTTCCCCAAAGGCCTTAGCCAAGTCAATTACTGGTCCTCACCTGTTTAATCAAATTTTCTCCAAGTGAATGCACACTCTTCCCCTCTTTCAAAAAACACTCTCTAATTGTAAATATCAGCAGGCTGGTGCCAACTTGTGACTACAGAGTGTTGAATTACATTTTTGTGATAGTGAATGCTTCATCAAATCCCACCTAGACAGGACAAATACATTATTCATCTTTACTTTATTTCTGTACCGCTTCTGTTTGTTAGACAGTAGTGATGTAGTGAACACTCCTCATCAGATTAAATTGTCACATGTTAATTTTCTGCCTTTTCAATGTTCATTGACTTGCTGTATATGGGGTATCAAAGAGAGCAAAAAAGCAGAAATGCACATGTTGCATTCTGATGGTTTATTGTAGTAAATTGAACATTGCAACCCTAGATGTAAAGATAAAGTGGTAACATCTGTAACATTTAAAAACAAGGTTGCTGTTCTTTCTGGGAATTATTATTAAAGACAAACAGATGCAGATGGAGCTTTGATTCAAAGAATTCACCTATTTAATAGTTTTAAAAAGTCTCCAAAGTATCAGTGCATGATACAGTCAACTTGGCACTGCATTACATCCTGCAACACCTCGACTCCCCAAGGACCTATGCAGGTTCCTCTTTTGTTGCCTTTCCACTATGGGAGCCTAGCAAGCAGTATACCCTGTATATCCCTTAACCATCACCAAGCATAGCCTCCGGGGCTGACGCGGACCGTGCTGCTTTGTTTTTCCACTGTATTATCTCTGTCGGTTTCTGGTTAGAGGAGGGAGAGAGGGGCTGCTCCTCTCTCACACATGCAGTCAGCTGTTTGTTGCTTGTAATGCTCATGCTTGAGCTGTGAAGACACAGATATTTAACCAGTCACCAATGACTGTATACATGCACCCCCTCCACCCTTGCATTCCTGTTACATCTTTTTAGTACTATATCCTGAGGTGTGCCAAAATTTAGCTCCCAGAACACACCTCCAAAGCAGACGCAGGGTAGGGAAAACAAACGCAGAACCCACAATGAGCGTTACCTGGCATGACATGTTTCCATAGGTTCTTATATTGGAAAAAACATGTTTGTGGACTTCAGCTTGGTGTTCAACATCAGCACCATCACCAAGAAGGCACAGCAGAGGATATAAAGTTCCTGTGCCAGCTCAAGAAGTTCAACCTGCCTCAGGAGCTGCTGATAGAGAGGAATCATTGAGTTTGTTTTCTGCTCTTCCATCACTGTCTGGTTTGGTTCAGCAACCAAAGAAAACAAGAACAGACTTCAGTGGACAGTCGGGACTGCTGAAAGATTCACCAGTGCCGCCCTGCCCTCTATGGAAGACCTGTACACCTAACAGGTCAAAAGGAGGGCAGAGATTTATGCAAACCCCTCATGCCCTGGACACAAACTCCTCCCCTCTGGATGGTGCTACAGGTCAATTGTACGCCAAAACAACCAGACCCAAGGACAGTTTCTTCCCCTGGACCATCACTCTGATAAACACTTAACCCATGACTGTAAGACTGGACACAGCAGTCACCCCTGTGCAATGAACTGTAAAACTGTAAATATAACATTTGTATATATCAATTTTAAAGCTCTTCTACCACAATATATAAGTATGTATATACTGTATAGTTATAAATCATCTCTTTTTCTCCTATACCTTTTTTATTAGATTGCACATTTCCTATTTTGAATGCACACATTTTTATTTTTTATTTCCTGTTGCATTATAGAGCACTGAGAGCCTCTGTTCTGGAGTCAAACATACTCGGCCAATAAAGCTGATTCTGATTCTGAACTATCCCCATGTGTCATGGTGGATGTGTCTTCTTGTTCTAAACGTGGAAATCTGCTACACTGAGCTCTGTGTCTGTTGAACAAGGCCATGAAAAAATCGTTACAAATGTTAGTGTGTTTTCTAGCTATGATGCCAGGCAATGTTTCTTGTTCTCTCTTTCAGGTTGGATTGCTATCCTGGGTGCACTGTGGCTTTTGGTTTTGGCTGACATCCAGGATTTTGAGATAATCTTGCACCGAGTGGAATGGGCCACATTATTGTTCTTTGCTGGCCTCTTTGTTTTGATGGAGGTATTTACTGTAACATACATGTACAGCTCATCTATTTGGCAGTTTGACAGAAAGCCCATTTATGTTTCAAGACATAATGATGGCTGTAGTATGTACTGACTCTCAATAGTGAAAACCACAAACTGATGCCAAACAACAACCTCACATTGTTTGGTAAAGGATAAATATATCAAATAAAAAGTGAACCAGAAGTGGGATGAAGGTAGATAATTCTGGGCTCCACTCTGACAGGCACCTTCACAAGACACTAAAAGAAAACTACTGACAGTGGACAGTGATAGATTCAGTCCATCAGCTTTACAATCTGAAAGTAATGATGTTTCTTTACCCATGAGACAAAAACAAAGTGTAATGTCAGGACAATACCTGCTTTGTTGTTTCCCTCCTCTGAGTCTTTGTTATGGAGGTGAGCTCTGGCACAATTATTTATTGAATGTATTAAACACTGTATAGTGTCATAAAGCAGTCCCCATAAGGAATAACCTCCTGAATGTGATTTTGTTTCTCAGTGTCAGTAACGATAACAAGAATAAATGTATCTCTTTTCTATTTAATGGCTGCTAAATAAAAAGCTAATTACTTTTCTTCTCTTGGTTTAATCCCACCTTTAAATAATTGTCTCAGATTTTTTTTTTCATATTTATCTTCTTCTCTTCATTTTTCAGGCTTTAGCCCAACTGCAGCTAATTGACTATATTGGAGAAAATACTGCATTTCATGCATATTGATCCTTCTGTTCGGCACAGCTCTGAATTCAATTATTTTGTTTACATCTGATTCCTGTCAGCAGTAGAAATGAGTCTGAGGTAATTTTCACCCATATTCTTGCCTGTGTGCATCATGCAAGCAAGGTGTCTCTGTGTAGAGAATTGCACCAGTAATAGGTACGTCAGCTTGTGTTTAGATTGTTGGCTTCTGTACACCTAGTAATCACACATGACAAGTGGTGTGCTATTCATAGTTTCTGACCTGCTCAGTGTCCCCAAACAATGGCCAACATGCTGGGTTGAACGGTGGATACTAGTAGAAGCCAGGGTAAAGGAGACAATGTAATATCTCCTCTGTTCATAAGAGAAGATGATCAGGAGGGTTTGAACCACATCATGCCTGTCAGATGTGGAGAAACTGGCCAAGCCTTTTATTTAGCAGCAGAGCTCAGAGATAAAACTATGAGAGAAGGTGCTGCCATCGCCTGTGGTTGTGTCACACAGTCAGACAGCTTCATCCTCCCAGCCTCTACTGCCCAACAAGAGGTGAACATAATTGGTGTATTTGATTTAGTCAGCGTTTGGCCGGGGGTTGGGGGTGGGGGGCCGTGTGCATCTGGATGGCAATGAAAGTAGCAGTTATCTGTTGTTCTTATTATCCCTTCTCTCAGGCGGTGCCAGAAGACCAGCGCTTGGCCATAGCCATTATCTTGGTGATGTGGGTCTCTGCACTGGCTTCCTCTCTCATTGACAACATTCCCTTCACTGCCACCATGGTGAGAGCTGTCAGTGTGATCTTTCAGTTTCACCCTCCAGAAATCGCACACACAAACACAGTTGACTGGCTTCTACTCAGGCTACATGAGAAGGCCTTTTAAACCACTCCTTATTATTTAATCATGCTTTGGCTAGTTTGCATTTAGGTACTATGAACAATATCCACTATGTTTTGACAGAAAAATACCTGACTCGTCCATGTGAAAATACTGATGGTACAGATATTGTTAAGGTGATGTTTGTGCAGACTTTTGACTCATGGTATAACCTCTAAGGCCAGTTATGTCAAACTTGTCAATCTTTTCATAGCTCCAAGAAAAACTTTCATAGGATAAATATTTCTTACAGGTATAGGCTGAAGTTACAGCTGATCAGGCCTATGCTTTCAAAAAGATACATCCTATATGACACGATAAAGTAACATCCAACAAAATATTAACAACCCTTTCTCACTACAGCTGAGAATGTACATTTCACTCCTGTAACAGAAATCGATCTCTACATACTTTAGTTCTGACTCTTTTTACTCAAGCATGCACATTCCTCCCAGGTCAAACAGCATTTTTGTTATTTTAACAGCTTTATGATAATTTCACATTGTATTACTTATTAGTGTTACTTCCACTTAATACAGTAAGTAATGTATAGACTTAGAAGTGAACAGTACTCAGTGCATAATGATGCTTGATTTAGAAAATCCTATGTATTATACAGTTCTTGGACAGACTGACACCTCTGCCTTGGCATAATACATACAGTATGGCTTTCAACATAATTTATTTTATAATTTCAACTCAACTATCCTGATGCTTCCAACAACATAGACATAAAACACTGTCTTCCAGTCAGCAATGGTAGGATTACTGACCTAAAACGTGTTACATAAGAAGAACAGAGAAAATTGTGTTGGGCCAAATGTAAATAACATGCCCATTTATTTTTAGTTAGAGTTATATTTTGATTGTACTGTGTACTGGTGCCTACAACATCTGACTTTCCATTTGACATTTACCTTTAAATACTGGAAGCTACACAGAGAGAGAGTGTACTGTATTTTACCATTAACTCTGTTACAAAAATCAGAGCAGCTGCTGCCTCACCACTTTGCTGTCAGCTGTCACTTAGGCTGCAAATTAATTGCATTGTCCAGAGATCAGTGCTTCAGAGGAGCACCAGTGTGCCCAATTAAAATGACAGTGAGAAAAAGACAAAGTGAAACATTGCTCAGACTTTTGACTAGCCAGACCCCCCACCAGGACGTCCAGTGCTTTTGACAATGTAATTTTCTCAGATTTTTCCCCATATAAAAGCAGACTTTACACAGCATCAGTTTTCAGTTCAGTGCTGATAAGAAAACATATTCTGAATGTTAAAATAGCTGAGAAAAGAGTTTTCTTCTTTCAAAAAATAAAAGATCTATGGAAAAATGACTTTATACATGTATATACAGTTTGGGGAACTATGGTAAAATGGTTTTATACTTGAATTGTGCTTTTCTGTGCATCGCAGCACACTCAAAGCGCTTTCATACTATTTGCCAATTCTCCCATTCAAACTCCCAAGCACACACATTCACACACCGGTGATATGACTGGGAGCAACTGGGGGTTCAGTGTCTTACTCAAGGACAATTTGACATGTGGACTGGAGAAACCGAGAATCAAACTGCCAACCCTTTGGTTAGGAG